CAGACGCACACACACACACACACACACACACACACACACACACACACACACACACACACACACACACACACACACACACACACACACACACACACACACACACACACACACACACACACACACACACACCAAGCAATGTGTCCATGGTTACACCATGATTGCTTAGTAAATATTCTATTTGGCGAGAGATAAACTTTATTGTATTTATCCTAGTGAATCTATTGTTAAACGGGTAAACTAGCAGTAGCACATCCAACGTCAAGGAAACAAAAAGTTATTATCAGGAGAGGGAGAATGTTTAAGTGGTTAGCAGCAGTGTGCTAGACGATGGCCCCCTCCATGAGGCCCCCACAGCTCAGCAGAACATCACTGTAGCTTCTTCTGGGGGAGAAAAACACTTAGAGAAAAAATAAAATTAATAGCTGAAGTAGCAGGAAATAATACAGTTAAAGAGCAGATTGTAGAAGAAAGTAGTAGAGGGTGAAAAGTGGTCAGTCTATCCTCCAGCAGTCTAAGCCTATAGCAGCATAACTACAGAGATAACTCTGGATAACCTAGCCTTTTTAGATGTAGGCATATTGGAGGCAGGGCAAGGGAGAACCATCTTTACCGACTGTACAATCCACCTCCCTCTACTCCCCCACTTGTCCAGATTGAGCCTATACTTAAAAGTAGACAAGGTGTCTTTCTCACGGACTAAGGCTGGGAGCTGGTTCCACAGGAGAGGAGCCTGATAACTAAAAGATCTGCCTCCCATCCTAATTTTAGATATTCTGGGAACCACCAGTAAACCTGCAGTCTGAGAGCGAAGTGCTCGGTTAGGAACGTATGGAACAATCAGATCACTGATGTATGATGGAGCTTGATTATTAAGAGCTTTATAGGTGAGAAGAAGGATCTTAAAATCTATTCTGAATTTAACAGGTAGCCAATATAGGGAAGCTAAGACAGGAGAGATATGATCCTCTTTTTAAGTCTCATCAGAACTCTAGCTGCAGCATTTTGGACAAGCTGAAGACTTTTAACTACATTCTGTGGACTTCCTGAGAGTAATGAATTACAGTAATCCTGTCTTGATGTAATAAATCTATGAACTAGTTTTTCAGCATCACTCCTGGAAAGGATGCTTCTAATCTTAGCAATATTCCGAAGGTGGAAAAAGGAAATCCTACAAACCTGATTAACCTGGGATTTGAACGACATGTCCTGGTCAAAAATAACACCAAGTTTCCTTACTTTGTTCTCGGAGACTAATTTAATGCCATTCAGGTCAGGTGATTGACTAAGCAATTTCCTTTTCTGGATTTTTGGTCCAAAGATGAGAACTTCCATCTTGTCTTGCTTTAAAAGCAAAAAGTTTAGAGTCATCCAATTTTTTATGTCCTTAAGACAAGCCTGTAATCTTCCTAACCAATCAGGTTCATCAGGGTTAATGGATACATATAACTGAGAATCGTCAGCATAACAGTGAAAGTTTATCCCATGCTGTCCAATGATTTCACCAATTGGGAGCATATATATATAGTAAAAATAATTGGTCCAAGCACTGAACCCTGTGGTACTCCACAAGTAACCCTGGAGTATGAAGAAGATTTGTCATGTACATTTACAAAATGAAATCTGTCAGACAGGTAGGATTTAAACCAGCCTAGCGCTGTTCCTTTGATCCCTACATGTTCAAGGCTTTCTACAAGAACTTGATGATCTACTGTGTCAAAAGCAGCACTGAGATCTAACAAGAGTAGAACAGACACAAGATTCTTATCTGAGGCCATGAGAATATCATCTGTAACTCTCACTAATGCAGTTTCAGTGCTGTGATACTCTCTAAAACCAGACTGAAATTCCTCAAACAGAGCATTAGTGTTTAAATGCTCACATACTTGGATGGCCACTATTTTCTCCAGGACTTTGGATAAAAATGGAAGGTTAGATATTGGTCTATAATTCATTGGGTAATTTGGATCCAGAGAAGGCTTCTTAAGTGAAGGTTTGATTACAGCAACCTTAAAATCCTGAGGTACATATCCATTTACTAAGGATGGATTGATTATATCTAGAATGGGGGCAGTAACCAAAGGAAATGCATCTTTAAATAATTTGGTTGGGATTGGATCTAAAATGCAAGTGGAAGGTTTAGATGAAGCTAATATTTTTGATAACTCTGAAAGCTCAACTGGATCAAAACGGTTCTAACACAGATGAGGTTCTACAGTCACCTCTGACGCTGCCTCACTTACTGAGGAAGAAGAAATCGCATTAGGAAGGATACTAAAGATTTTGTTTCTAATAGAATTAATTTTACTTGTGAAAAATCCCATAAAGTCATTGCTGCTGAGGGCTAAGGGAATAGATGGTTCAGAGCTATGATTCTGTGTAAGTTTGGCAACTGTACTGAAAAGAAATTTAGGATTATTCTTATTCTCCTCAATTAACGCTGAGAAATAAGCAGTTCTGGTTTGTCGAAGCTTATTTTTATAAAGCACAAGACTATTTTTCCAGGATAGGTAGGCCTCCTCATGGTGCGTAGAGCGCCATGTTCTCTCCAGTTTCCTAGAGTTTTGTTTTAAAGCTCGTAAATGAGAATTAAACCAGGGAGCCAACTTCTTGTTCCTAATTACCTTCTTTTTTAAAGGGGCAACATCATCTAATGCCACACGTAAAGAGGAATTAACATGATGAACAATCGCATCAATTTGTGAGGGGCTAGAAATGAAAATATTGCCCTCTGCTACGTTCCTCTGAGATGCAGAGGACAGTAAAGATGGAACAGTTGATTTAAAAGATGCAACAGTGCTGTCAGAGAAACCGACTATAGTGAAATTTACTTTCATGTCTCGAGAACTCAGTTATAAACAACTCAAAGGTTATCAGAAAGTGGTCCAAGAGGACTGGATTATGTGGAAAGATCGTTATTTCCTCACACTCTATGCCATAAGTCAGCACAAGGTCCAAAGTGTGATGGCAGGAGTGGGTGGAGCTATGTATTCTTTGAGTTAAACCAATTGAGTCTAAGATATTACTAAAGGCTACATTGAGGCTATCATTTTCAATGTCCACATGAATGTTAAAATCCCCCACTATAATGACCTTATCAGTATTTAGCACCAAATCAGATAAAAAATTAGAGATCTGATCCAAAAACTCAGAGTAAGGGCCTGGTGGACGATATAAAACTACAAACAAGAGTGGTTTTACAGTTTTGCAATCTGGATTAGGAAAACCAAGAATAAGATGTTCGATCGAACTGTAGCTATTAATTGGTAAGGGATTGATTAATAAGTCAGAATGAAAAATGGTTGCTACTCCTCCTCCTCTCCCTGTACTTCAAGCAATATGATGATTTAAATAATTAAAAGGAGTTGACTTGTTTAAACTAACATAGTCCTCTTGCTGCAGCCAGGGTTCTGTGAGAGAGAGCAAAGAAATCTGATTATCACAAATCAAGTCATTAACTAACAAAGTCTTAGAAAAAATAGATCTAATGTTCAATAACCCACATTTAATTTTTCTAATATTCTGCTCAGTAGAATTTGTTCTAATATTTATGAGATTTCCATAATTTGCTTTATTAAGCCTGATATTTAATCTGTGTGATTTTGGCCGTGGGCAGGACACTATCTCTATGGGGTAGTGGGTGGGTAACAGTAAGATCTATGATTTTGTTTATTCCTAGCCAGCTTTTTAAGTGCATTTCTAGGACAGTAGACTTGTCTCTTCAAGACCGTTAATGTAGATTAGTTTATTTAAAGACTGATTTTTTAAGTCGAATGTGGTTAAACTCTGCACATCTTTGAGGATCAAAAAAAACCTCTTACCTTTTTGAGGGAATAAATACATTGTCCCTAACGGACCAATCCGTTAGAAAAGAAGATTAGTCTCGATTCTCACAGGAAAAATATCATCTGTGGCTCATTCCACTGGGTCCATAGAAGGACAAAATATTAGATCTGTGGCTTGGGCAGATAAAAATATCTCAGAAAAAAATACAATTTTCTGTCTTAACCAGAGCCAAACCTAAGTTCAGCTCTGGTGCTGTATCAGACCAGGTTTGGAAATTCTAAGGCTTTAAACAAAATATAATTCCAAAGAGACTGTGGTGGAATTAAGAGGTTTGGAGAAGAGCTGCAAATTCCTTCTTGTCTGATTGGTTAATGGACAACATACTTTTCTTCATTTCTAATCAGTGCAGCAAATCAACTCGAAGATCTTTCTTCAAAAGATTCATATTTGTCAGGAAATCCAACCAAAAGTGTCCAACTTTCGTATAAGATCCTTCAAAGTCTCAACCTGTGCTTGTTCATATTTCTTACAGAAGACGAGAAAACATCAGAGCTTAGGTCTTCAACCAAAGATTCAGTCAGTTTGAAAGTTTTCCATCAAACTTAAAGAGGAAAAAAATACCATAATTGCATAAAAATAATAGGAAATTCTTTCTTGACACATTTTCTCTGTAGTTTATGCATTAACTCCAAAAGTGTTTTGGAATCTGACATAAAAAATTTTAAGGAAAAAAAAGCACTAACTGATAAGTGGATAAATCAGAGGTGTGATCAACATTGGATTTGTCATCCTGTTTTAAAATAAAAGTGAATCGGACCTGACCTTCTGGGATAGGTTTGGGGCTTTACTGCCACCTGGTGGTTAAGGAATAACCATGCAGTTCACCCATTGAAGTGATAAAACACCTTTCTAAACTTGTGTTAAAATCACACAAGGTAAGTTAATACTGAATCGGAGTAGAAATAACATTTTGGCATTAAAATTTGCTCTAAAAACGTTGTTTTTAACAGCAATAACTGCAACACTACTTTTCTCAGAAAATAAAGGTTAAGAAAGAAAGAGAAGAAAATAAATAAAACGATATTTTATATAACGCTTCTCAAGACAAAACCCATGGGGTGCTTCACAGAAGCATAATAATAATAATAATAATAATAATAATAATAAATTTAAGTATAAAAAAGATTGAAAAAAAATATTAAATGTGTATTTTAAATGAGAAAAAACTGTTATTTAAAAAATGTAAAGAAAGGGAGACAGAAAATGAAAAGGTGAGAGGGAAATCAGTGGATTCCAGGAAAGGCGGAATAAGAGCAGAATAAGGAGAGGGAGGTGATGAAGGTAATGTAAAAGTCAGCCTGAACTGGTGAGTTTCAGCTGCTTTTTAAAGGAGTCCACTGATCTCAGGCTCAGGGGGAGAGAGTTCCAGAGTCTGGGGGCCACAGCAGCAAATTATCTGTCACCTTTGGTCTTTAGCCTGGTGCTGCACAACCAGTAGGCTTTGATCACTGGACCTCAGGGACCTGCTGGGGATGTAGGGACTGAGAAGATCACTAAGTTTTTATGTTGCTATATTTTAACAACCAGATAATTCATTATTTGTTTGTGTGTCCTTCAAAGTGGTTTTGTGTGGCCACCAATAACTTTCGGTGGAATTTTGTCTCACCAGAAGGCTGTTGATGTTAATCAACATATAGAATCATTTTGTGTTCAGATCTTTACCAATATGTCTATTTTAGGCCTTTTGGGCAATACAAATGAAAAAAATCACAATAAAACAATTTTTGGCACAAAAATGTTTATAGATTTTGATTTTTTTTGTGGTCAATGAAAACTTTTAACATAATTTGAAAGGTGTGCTTGTGTGTGTGTGTTCTTGTACTTACTACCTAGTGAGAACCATGAGGTTTTAACCAACAGAGTGAGTTCATTTTTTCAAAATGTCTACCAGTCGGTTTTATAGGTGTGGTGTGAATTAGGTTTTAGGATTAAGAATAGATCAGAATGGGTTATGGTTAGGGTATGGGTTAGGCATAATATAGGTACAAATTTGAATGGAAGTCAATGGATTGTCCTCACTAGAAAGACAAGGTAACGCTTTCTTTTACAGTCCCCTAATTACTAAGTACTTACATGGTAATTACATAGTAAGTTAAAGTGTTTTATTGTGTAATTAAAGTGTATAAATGTAATGAAGTGTAATTATTGTGTAAAGCAGTATGTATTGGGAAAGATGAATAAAAATAAAAAATAAAATTGAACCTGTGTAGCATGGTAATAACGGTTTAAGAACTCAGAAACAATAATACACTTTAACTTACTATGTAAATACCATGTAAGTACTTAGTAATTAGGGGACTGTAAAAGAAAGCGTTACCAAAGACAAATGTGTGTGTGAGTGTGTGAAGGGGGTGTAAGGCTGATCACCTAACTAACTGGAGAGATTATCTGTTGCACTGGAAGCTGGAGAGAATATTGTCTGGGTTTTCCTGACCACAGCAATCCAGTCTTAGATACAGGGGTGGACTGGCCTATCTGGCATTCTGGCACTGTCCCGGTGGGCTGCTTAGCAAAGTGGGCTGCTTGCCCAGCTTGGGCCAACACTACTCCACAGTTGGTGATCTGCAGAACATTAGCTACATGGTAACCCGAAGCTAACAGAGTTTTTTCAGGCGTTTTTAGCAAGAAAAACACAGTAGAGCGATGATGCAGGAGTTTTTTACCATGTTAGCATGTAGCTAATGTCCCACTGATCTCCGCCCGTGGAGAATGAGCTGATCTGGAAGGCCAGGGCTCCCGGTCGCAGCGGTCTGGCCCTGCTTGTAATTAACAGTCCCAGTCCATATTGGATCTCACGTTCGGCCTAGAGACGAGTCCGCGGGTGGAAACACCCCCCACCCCCACCGCTCTCCCAATAGGGAGGGCCGACTGAGTGCCAACGATTCGTAAAAAAGCCAGGGCCGAATTTTGTTCCCAGCCCACCCCTGCTTAGATATGTGGAGAAGGATGGATGGATGAACTGATGGATGAATGGATGGTTGTATGTCTCTCAGGCTGATGCAGATTGAATGCAAATAAACACATCTGTACAGTAAATGAATCTTTACTGAAGGAACCAAACATCTGTGTGACTAAATGGAGCTCGGCTCTCTTGTACCACCAAGATTTGAATAAAAGTTTAAGCTGTGATGGAATACATAAGAGGTGAAACCAGTTGGTATTTTCCATCTCCTGCTGAGTGCAACTGTTGGGACTTAAATTTAGAAATCACGACTTAGTCCACTGATGGAAGTAATCATTTGTTGTCCAAATGCCAGTTAAACACATTAAAGTCTTGATGAGCAGTAACTTTTCCACAAACATTCAGGTTTTGTCGAGCAGAATCAACATTATGCAGCATATAGAGAGTGAAACTTAATGTCCAGGTAAACTGCATAAATAAGACTAGTCATAAGTAAACAGTTGAGGTCAAGATGTCCATCACATTAGTTTTGTTCCACTCATAGTGGTCCCAGAGAGTCCTGGGACTCCTGCTCGTTGGCGAGTATTGTCCGACCGTTGTCGCTGTAGCTCCGGTTTGGTAAGAAGGACAATCTGGAAGAGAGAGAAAAATCATTGAAGGTTATCTTAGAACTAATATGTGTATTCATGCATCTCCAAGGAGTTTGTGTGTGTGTGTGTGTGTGTGTGTGTGTGTGTGTGTGTGTGTGTGTGTGTGTGTGTGTGTGTGTGTGTGTGTGTGTGTGTTTGTGTGTGTGAGTGGGTAACAGACGAACAGACAAGAGGAAGAACAAGAAGAGGATTTAAACCAGACCATTAAAATGTTTGCAAAATTACAAAACAAACACAATTATAGTTGTTATTTATAAGAGGAGTCTGAAACATGTATGGAAATATTGCAGGTCCTTTGGTGCTGGTAAACAAAAACTGTTCTGGTTTTCCAGTTATTACTTATCATGCTTTGTGCTATTTTAAATGGGGCAGTCAACATAAATAAACATAATCACAAATAGGTCAGAGGTACCCAAAGGACTGCTTTTAATGTCAAGTCACGCTCCAAAACAAATGCTAATTAGGACTAGTTATAAAAAGAGAACTAACATGCAGAGATGGTCTCGATGTGGGACAATATCCTACAGAATATCCTGGCTTTGTTCTGAACGTGATGGTTTTGGAAGTCTTAAACTAGCCTCTAATAGCAGCTGCAGAAGATGAGGCTTTATTGAGTTTATTTTAATTTAATTGTTACACAAATGTCCTTGAAACCCTAAAATAGATCACACAAATAGATCAGCTGATCCAGATACTCACTGCAGGACTGAAACAACCCATCGGCCCTATCGTAAGAGAAAAGATGAGGAGGATTCTGGAACATTTCTTTAATTAAATCTCATATGATCCGTTTTTCATGTAGAAACAGTGAGGCAAATGCTCATAGACACGCTATTTGTTTGTAAAATAGTTCAACAGGGGGCTGGTGCCTATCTGTGACGGTCTTCAGGCTAACAGGCGGGGTACACCCTGGACAGGTTGACAGTCCATCGCAGGGCAACACAGAGACACACAAACAAACAGGACAAACAACCATGCGCATACACACTCACACCTAAGGATAATGTAGAGAGACCAGTAAACCTGACAGTCATATGTTTTTGGAATGTGGGAGGAAGCTGGAGAACCCACGAGTGCACAGGGACAACATGCAAACTCCTTGCAGAGAGACCCCAGGCTGGGATTCAAACCCGGGGCCTTCTTGTTGCAGGGCACCAGCACTAACCACCACCACGAATTAACTTTATAAACCACAAAAATGGCTTTATCTCATTCAAACTTGTAAGTTCAAGAAAAAATCAGTTTGACCTCTATACTTTTGTGAAGATGATTTGCTTCCCATATGAAGAGCTTCCAAGAAAGAAAAAACAAAAACATAAACCATCCCTACACTATCTAATCGAGCAGAAAATGACAATATTGCAAAAGTAGCCAAACCAACCCAAGCTAATTTCGTGAAGTCATGGCGTAAATTCAGTCTTACCTTTGCTGGTTTATAGTAATATTAACCCATGTTATAATTTTTAAAAAAATCCACAGTTTGGTTTGTGTAATTCATATGTTCCAATGTCACACTGAGTTGATTCAACTGTTTTGGGCTTTTTTACCTGCTGGAGAGTGTTTACAAGTCTCCGATGCCACATTCCATCATTTTCCGGTTCTTCATAATAAAATAAAATAAACCTCCACGAGGTGAGCTGAGACTGCCCGGTTTCAGTTGTAACGTGATGAAGGAGCTATTCCTCCAAGGTTATTTAACCTTTTCCACAGTTCCCTTTGACACAGCGCCAGAGTGCATGAAACAGCCTCAAGGTCATGCATTTGCTTCTAAACTGTTTACATTCCAGCAATGAAGACACAAGATGAAGAGACTCTTTTCTTTCATCAAATCAAAGAACTCTATTTTCAATAAAGCTAATCAAAACAACTGTTAGTCAATAATACAATGTGACCGATCTGTGAAATTACAATATTCTGATTAATATGTTTTAATAAGTAATATGACTTAATCTAGTCACTAGACACACTGATATACGTAAGGAAAACAATAACATGACACATTGCTGTTGCTGATCCAATCAGAATCTTCCCTGTCTGAAGCGTGGCGAGTCTCTGTGGTGTAGGGCCTGCACGACTTTATTTTTTTTAAAGTCGACAGTCAAGTAATGAAAGTCGAGTCGACTTCGACTAGTCGTTGATGACGTCATACGCCGGCAGCGGGGGGGGGGGGGGGGGGGTGTCGGTAGGTTCGCTGGAGTTTTTGACAATTAAAATTGCGCCCACATTTTCTAAGTTAACACACCTCTTTTAACAACAGTAGTTTCTGCATCCTACTTCAGCCCTCTCCCCCCTCCCCCGCGCAGCAGCAGCAAACTCACTGATGCGCCTGCAGCCTCTCGGAGTTCCTGCTGCTCTAAACATTAAAATAATTATTTCATTTTCTGTTCCTCACTTCTGATTACCTTCAGTGGTGTCTGTTTGTTGCAACCACCAGCACTGTAAAAAAAAAAAAGTTGGGAAAACTCAAAATTTTGAGGCAACAAACTTCAGGAAATTTTTAAGTTTGGCGCATCAACTTAATATTCTAAGTTATGCATTTGATTTTGACAAACTCTCCATTCTAAGTTTTGCTAACTTAGTTATAAGTTGGAAAGACTCAAAATTTTAAACTGTAATAAGTATGAAACCTGAGTTTATCTAACTCAAGTGTATGTTGTAGCAACTTTGAATCCCAAGTTTTTGTTACCCAATTTTAAGTTGTAAAAACTTAAAATTTTAAATAGTACTGACTGTAAATCCTAATGTATACCTCAATTTTAAAAGTTACACTTACTTAAAATTTAACATTACACCAGCTATTATTTTTGACTTTTCTAAACTCAACCAAGTTATTGAGGCAAAACATTTTAAATTTCAACAACTTTTAATTGACCTTAGCTTACTCCACTACAACTTGCTGCAACTTTTAACACATTTCACAGCGAAAAGTTGAATTACCACCTCATGTATATATTGCATACACCAACTCTGTTATTAAACAGTATAGGAAAATGTCATTTTTGATAATAGACCACACTTAATAATGTAACAGATGTGTTTAAACAGCAAATTCTAAACAAAAGCAAATTCAAATGCCGATGACACAAGTGTTTTTATTTTGAACTTTTGTCACATCATGTTAAACACCATGTGTAACACTTACCAAAAACAGAATGCTTAGTAAAACACTACACAAGTTAAGGTATGGAGCATAAAACTTATCTTGACGGACAATATTGGTATTAAAACATTATCTGTTTGATACAGAACCAGCTGAACTACAACTGTAGGAAGCCCAACACATCTAGCTGTGAGACCAGCTGTAAGACTAAATTATTTTAAACTTATGCACTTTAATGTACAATTACAAGACCCTGGCGTGTACCTGGTTGAGTAGCCCAACTCCAGAATAACTGGCTGAACAGGAACAAACAAAATGCTGACCTTGTATCAGACATTTTAAAAGAAACTCCAGTAAAACATAAACATATCTAGCATAGCATTACAAATAAAAATTTATATAATATTTTTTTCTGTATAAAACTGTTTTTATTAAAGTGGCAACAGTGGAAACAGTGACTTGAGCTCTAAATTTAAGTAAGCACAAAAGTGAAAAAAACTGCAAGACATTAAAGAAAAAAAAAGGTAAGGTACATCCAACAGCTACCATATAGGATTCATAGAAAAAGCCTGTTTTTGAGGGATCTTACCCTTGCCGACAGATCTGTCCCAAGTCCCATAAAGATTTTCTGAACCGTTTCAAAGGTGTACCTGAGATCTTTTGGGTATTGAAGGTTTAAGACATAGATCAACCCAAAGACATAGCCAAAAGCCGTTGGCAGATCTGGGAGATCCTGAAGGATGATTGTTTCTTCAACAACCACAGCAAGGTTCATCACATTTACAGCAGGTGAAGTACCGTCATCCTCCAGCACAGTGAGGATACCCACAGAGAGACCTCTTGTCTGCTCCTCCTCTGGGTCAGTATCCTGTTAAGAAGAGATGGAAAACAATGTTAATGCTTTATTGTAGGGCTGGGCAATATGGACCAAAACTGATATCTCAATATCTTTTAGCTGAATTCCGATATACGATATACATGTCTATATTTGTCCTCCTGTAAATTATTTACAAGTTAACTCACTTCAAGCTGTCTTGAGAAAAAATATACAAAAATCAGTAGATTAAATACATAAAAGTGTATTGATTCTTGTCAAACTTTAACTTTAGTGCCTATTCTCTACCAGCCTGAGCTTTAGAAACACTGGTACAGCTGTCTGCTGACACACACACACACACACACACACACACACACACACAAACACACAGTTGAGAGCTAGAGGTATATCAAATGTCCCACAGGCACTTTTAAATTATATATTTATAATTAATGTAAAAAAAATTTTTTTCATCTACAGGTGGGCCATATCATATATTTCTTGTCCAGAGAAAATAAATCTATCATGTTAAACTAAATTTATGATGATGTAATTGAATCTACTCAATATCACATGGGCCATGGCCATGCACCGTGGAGTTATTAGTTATCAGGGCAAACATGGCTGGAGTCTAACATAGCGGCTAATCGCTAGAATAGCAGTTTGACCAGTTATATCGATATGAAGATATAAAGTCATCTTATATCTTGTATAAAAATTATACAGAAATTTGAAAAATATCGATAAATCGCCCAGCCGTACTTTATTGTAAACCAGTCTGAAAGATATTCATATAGGCCATCTTTCACATTAAACATTTCCAATTTAAACACTGTAACCAAAAAGCTATGGTGTAATATGTAGAAATCGACTATATCAAGAACAGTTAAACTTTTGAAGGCTTTGGGATATAGAGATCACAGAGAACACTGAATGAAATGACGGCTTACATAAGACAAAAGAACAGGGAAACAGTAAATTAAAGGCATGGCATACATTTACTTTATTTTTATTTGTTAATGACTCACAAGGCAGCTCCTGAAGAGTTTCTCATGACTGTCACGAAGATAAAAAGGGAGCCCCTTCAAAGCAGTGGTTTGGCGATGCATTGTAATGTCAGAAGTCTGAAAAAGTTACACCAAGCATTAGAAGATGGAAACAAATAGAAAGGAAACAAAAAACAGCTTAGAACCATATTCAGAAGTCTCAGTTGTGTGTGTGTGTGTGTGGTTGACTGTCCTGTGTGTATGTCATTTATGTTGCCCTGCGATGGAGTGGCATCACCGGTCACCCACTGACAAGGGTGACCCTGTGATCTTGCCCTGTGATCGCTGGAGATAACCAAGACCCTTCACGGATTAAGTGGAATACATAATGAATTGATGGATATTACCAAAGACATTTGAAAAAAAGTAAAATAAATTCCCTTCCTTATAACACTGCTTTAAATTGTTACTACTGTCAGTCCTCTGTAAACTGTAATTATAAATCAACCAATCACAATTTATTTCAAAAAAATATGTAACTCAAAGTGCTTTACAAATTAAAATGACTTCACATTACCCAAAATCCCATCCCTTTCCCACAAACATAAAAGCAATTATAACAATTAAGCCCCCTTCCCACAACCTATTTCCCAGTCACACATGCACAATGAAAAACAACAGAAGTAAACACTGGACTGAGTTCAGGTAGGGCAGGTAAAGAAACGCCATCAGGGAACCCACCTGCCCCGAGAGCAGAAGATCCATGGCACCAGTAGAGGAACCGACACAAGGCACCCAATCAAATCCACAACAAAAAACAAAATAATGAGATTGTTCATTTTAAATTTTACCTCCTCATCCAGGCTGTTGAGGAGTTGATCCATCTCAGCAGGGAAAGTTGTCCTCTTAGCCCGATAGAGTTGAAGAAGCCTGGATGTGTGCTGATTTAGGCCTGCTCTGAAGCTGTCCATCAGGTCCTTGTTGGTGATTCGATGGAACTCTTCCCTGATCTGTTAGACCAGTAGAACAGCAAATATATATTTTTTATTGCGCAATTAATTCAAATTAAACATAAGTACCACTGCTTACCTCTGCCTCATTAAACAAAGCAGGCCACCGTTCCATAACCTCTGTCACCATTGGCTCCACCTCCACAATCTCCTTCCGCCTCAGGGAGAACGTCAGCTCCATCTTTTGTTTTATGAGCACAGGATCCATCCTTCTCTTTTGTGACTCCTCGAGTAGAGCCAGTCTTTCCTCTTCCAAAGAGTCATCACTATGACTATCTGGATAGTCCGGGACATAGTTTATTTCTCCACGTTTTGCTCTCTTCAAAGAAGAATTTGTGTCAACATCTTCATTGCTTTTTCTTTTGCGGTTTATGCTGACTTCATTACAGCCTGCCTGACGTAGTTTGGACCTATAATTACCAAGTTTGTATTTAATGCTCATCTTCCATCCATCATAACCTGATCCACTGCCTGGTTCTTGAAGACAGGGGTGTTTGGTGACCAGAGCAGAAGCTACTGATTCAATCTGGTCTTGGTCAGGATAGGCTTTTACCTCAAAAACAGCCTGAGCAATCTTGTCCAAAATGTCCATCTTCATGTCTCTAGTTATGCTTACAACTTTCTTTGTGTTTTCGTATTCGTCGTTCCCTTTACGCAGTTTCAATTCCACATCATATGAAAAGGCTGGAATGGTAAATGGTGAAGGCCACTCAGATACACTACGCAAATAGCTCCTAATAAAAGCTGATGGATTTTGGAATGCACCTCCAGTAGATGTACTGGGTGTGTCAAGGGAAGACCCTGAAACAAGTGCGTCAGACTCTTTATGAGGATGCTCAGATGACTCCTCCCAAAGAATATGCAAGACGGCACGTTCAGGTGGCAGCTCATGAATATCCATCAAGTTACAGAGGGCATTATTAAAGTCTGGGTCCTCATACTGGATTGTGAAGCTGCCTTGAAGTTGCAGTTTTTCACGAAGGCTGTTCTCCAAGTGTTCAACAGATTCAGGAACTTCAGCAAGAGCAAGTTTGCGAGTCATTTTGGGGGAGATTTTCACCAACAGCAACAATCCAGCCTTGTTGAAATGAGAAAAACAAAAAGACACAAGAGATAAATGTTAAAATTATAACAGCTGGAGCCTAGAAATAAGGTTGTGGTTAATTACTTTGTTGACAAAAACATATAACAAGGAGTTATACTAAGGAAGTTAGACTTCCAAAGTACAATGAGTAGAAGAAGAAAAAAATGCTGCTCACTTCCAAATAGACCACTACACTTACATGTGCCAAAAGGAACAATTCTAAACACAAACTGAAATTAGGATGTAGATACCATATCATTGCACATATCACCACAACCGAGTGCTACTCTAAAAGGTAATCTATAAACTTACCATTTTGTGTGACATCAATGGAGCAGGCACACTTTTGGCGTCACCAGATTCTTCCCTGCCACTGTGTATGCAACCAATGGAAGATGGTGGTTGAGATCCTCCAGATCCAAAAGCTGAATTTCTGTGTAGATACCTTCAACAAGCTCGAAAGACCTAAAATGTTCCAGGTACCAAGAGGTGAGCTTTTTGCAAACAAAAGCAACTTTCTCAGTGTTGATTATCATAGTCACAATTTTATAAAATTCTGGCAGTCCGCTGTAGTGTCCAGCTGACAGAATCATACCCTCTGCATATCGGGTCCCATGCAACTGAATGTCTTTGGAAAGAGGCACAGTTTCAAGGTGTGGGTAGTTTCTGTTAATCACTTTGCTCAAAGCTAAATCCAAAGCAGATGTTCTGATATTTGTTATTTTTTCGACATGCAACATGGGCTTGAAGAGACTTTGACTATCAAACTGGCATGCCATCATCTCCTGGTGTTTTGTAGACAAAGAGAGCAAAACATTTTTAAAGTTCTGAATGTCATGCATCGTTTTTTTGAAAAAACTATGCTTCGACTCAAACCTCATTGTCCATAGTTCAACCAAGGGACCAAAGCAACGTATGAGGTGAGGATAATGTTCTGCAAAGTGGTGCTTTGGCCGCAAACTAAAACCAGGAAAAGTGTCAGTGAGCAACTTTCTGTGGTCCGACAACTTGATCTCCAAGTAGTGCAATTTCTCCTCCGTGAAAACATGTGACATAACAATCTCAACAATTTCTTTAAGGTCCATTAATATCTCCCATGAAGGTTCCTGTTCCGGTATGTTTTTTCCAATAAAAAGAGGAAGGAATCGTAACAGGGACCAGTTTTCATGCCCGTTGCCACCTATACTGCCCTTTTGTAAACTTGCCTTTGAAATTATCTTTGGTTTATTCACCCTGTCTGAGTATTTAAAAGGAAATGTAGTAATTACAGTGTTCAATCTTTCCAAAGTAATAAATCCTTTGGAAATCAACCTATTTAGACACAAACATAACTCTACTGGAACTACACCTTCAAAAAAGTCATGTAGAATATCTGGAGGAAAACCAGTGACAGGGTGAAAAAATGAAAGATGCTCACTTAGTACACAGTCACTTTTAACACCATTTACATGTGCAACATCCCCATTTTTAAGTTGCACCAGACATGTAGCGTGCTGTTCTCTGGACCGTAGCTGGAAATCTGAAATTGCAATGGATTGTATTTCACTTCGACTTGTCAAACAAAACCGACAAAAGTTGTTTACACAGAAACTCTCCTGAAAGCCAGCAAGTCCATGAGCTCCCAAATTGTCTGCACATACGCAAAACACTGAAGCTTTTACATGACTGTCAAGAGCTTCAACAAATACTCCAACTTGTTCAAGTGATTTTAAATCTTTAACTAGTGGCTTGAAAAACTTTTTGTAACCGAAATGTTTAACATCACATGTCTTTCCAAGGAGGGCTAAGTGAATTGAAGGTAATGTGGAACGAAACTTTACAGGTAGATTGAGAATCACCCAATAAACTGCAGAAATTTTATGAATTTTCTTTGATGTGCCTAATGGATTACACAATTCAAAATCATCTATGTAAAGACCTAACCCAATAGACGGCTCTTGTTCTCCAAAAATTTCATTCAATTTGAAATAATGACCATCTTGAAAAGACTTGTAATATCCTGGTGTAGATTTTTCACTGAAAACAATTTTTTCCAAAAACTCTGCTCTATTCAGAAAAAGCTCAATAACCTGATGTACAGAAACATATACAAATGATTTTTTTGAACTCCTGTCGTACAACCACTCAGTTGGTTCAATGATAGAGAAATGCTCTCTGAAATATTTATTTCTTCTATAATGAGTTGATAATGTACCTTTTTCTGATGTGGCAAGAAGTACTGGATTTTTTGTTATCACAGTGTCACTTATCTCCTGAACAATATTTTCCTCAACTTCAATATTATGCTTTGCCAAGATCTCTTTAATGACTGCTGATGTACTGTACTTAGAAAGGGAAAAGATTTCATTAAATTCTTCTATGATTGTCTGTATTGCGTGTTTAGGCACATGTAACAGACATTGCATACGAAGAAAAAGGGAGGCAAAATGGTGCTCTACTATTTCTGAATCCACATTTTCTATACAGTTGATTTCATTTTCTTCTGTCAAACTTGATGAAAACTCAGGTTCATTTCCATCTTCATGAAACAGACCAGTGTTTTCAGACAGAATAAAATGAACTGTCTCAACCGATCCTCTAAAATCTTTAAGTGTGTCGTTTTTATGGTTGCGTGATATATGACCTGTAAAACTGTTAAGGAGATTTGTTTTGAAGCTGCAGTTAAAGAATGGGCAATGTACAATCTCTCTGTTTCTAAGGTGATGATGCAGATGAACCAAAATTTTCTTTTTACAACAAATGTCTCTGAAATCACATAGCCAACAATTAAAAGTTACGTTTTCTTGTCTTTGAACAGTCCTGTGTGATCTTGAAAGGTGAGATTTCAAAGAACTAATTGTTTTAAAAGTGCATAAACAGTCCGTGTGGATGCATGGCCAGGCATTACTTTTGTGATGAAGACGGTAGTGTTTCAGAAGAACAGCTTCGGCGGCAGGGGCGAATTTACAGAATTTACACTGCATTCATTCATTTTATTCTAAAAGACAAAAGGGAGAATTTGATGGAAATTAGCAAACTAGATAATACAAATACAAACATTTTACATAATACCGGTAGGTTATTAAAGACAGAACAAACAAATTGTTGTTAGGGAGATTTGTCAAATCTAATACGGTATAGTGATCTACTAATATTAAAAATTAAAACTTTTTTTTTTGGCCCCAGGAGCTGATTGCAGCAAGTGAAACCATTAGTTAGTTTTTTATTTTATTATTATTATTATTATTTTTTTTTTTTTTTCATTTTTCACAGCATACAGATCCACCAGGCAAGGTTAAAAAGTAGCCTATACATTCAGTTGCAGACACCTGATGAAGTTATATGACAAAATGTAAAAACAGAAAAGAAAAGAAAAAAGAATTGAGAACAGAAACTCACCTCTAAGCAGCCTGGTCCAGAGTTAGTGTTTGGCCCCACAGCTCTGCGTTGGTGCACTGTTTGCCAGTGTTTGGACTGGCTCCTCCGCGTTTGGGCTGGCTCTTCCACGTCCTGCTTCTACGTCCCGTTGCTCTGTGCATTTCCTCCGCAGCCTATCAGTATTTGCCCCTCCGTCCCGCTCCTCCGTGTTGTCTGCCCCGCAGTCCCACTGCTCCGTCCTGGTGCCAAATCTGCTCCACCGTCTATGGGTGTAAAGTGTACTAAAGCATAATTTTGTAGTTTTTAAGTCAATGCACATTCGACACTAATTGCTAGCTGCTGTTGCTACATTAGCCATTAGCAATGTGAGTAAGCAATTATTCTCTCAATATTTAGCTTGTTTATCAAAAGAAATTGAAATATCATTAGTGGTATAGCAGATATCATTTCAAACAATAAACAAGTACGAAATGAAACAGTTAGTTACAGAGGTCCATGTTTTTTAAGTACAAGCTAGTTGCAGAATATAGCCTATAGCATAAATCTAACCCTCGACAGCCTTACCTTAAAAAAATCACCTGTAAAAGTTGTTTATACGTGTAGGCTAACTTTATAGAGCACAAAACATATTCATAATTTATTTTTAACATAATTTGAACCCAGGAAAAAGGGGAAAACTTACCTATGCAGCCTCCTTTGCCTCCGACCACACGCAGAATGAGACTGACTCCTCCAACTCCAAAAGTCGACTTTCCCGCATTTCACAACAAAAGCATGGACGTTAGCAGAACTTGGGCGCGATATTATGAAGTCAAACTTATATATGTAAGTTCATACGACTCACTTAATATTGTTGAAGCACACAACTAATTTGGTTTGTCGGGCTGACTCAATTTATTACACTTAATTCGTGAAACGTGGATTTTAAGTTTAAGCAACTTAAAATACCTTTTCATCTCAAAAAACATAAGTTGCTTTTATTACAGTGAGGTACAAAAACTAACTTGTTTTTATTTGACTATTTTTCTGTCCTGTCTGTTTATTATCTTCCTGCATCTCCTCTCAATCCTAAAGAGAAACTGCTACCTGCGTTCATATATATTCACCTTATGAGTTACCTTTGAACTGCAGTTCTAAAAGATCTACCGACCGCAAAAACAGCGGAGTGCCGCTGCTCGCCGGCCGACTACAACGGGACAGTTTTTGCTGCGGAGTTCGTGCCGGAGTGGAGCGGAGTGGAGATAGTGGAATTTTGGGGGTGCGTCACCGGAGAACAAAACAGGTGAAGAGCCTCGCTCCGCAGCAGCGAAACGCATCAGGCACAAATAACAGACAGAAAACATGAAAGGAAATGAGCTGACATGAACGATTGCGTGTTTAATTTGTTTTTGAGGTGGTGACACCTGATTTGGCGGTGCTCAGGACGCAATGTCTGGAGCGCACGTCAACGATCAGAGCTTTGCATGCACAAACTGGTTAAGATTAGGATGGGGGTGAGGGGAAGGTTAAATTGCAAGAGGGAAAAGATCACAGTTTGGTTAAATGTCCGTTTTACCGCCGGTGTCAGTACCGCATAGCGCGTTGCCTCCGCCTCGATCCAGACGCGCAGGGGCTCATACCTGCTGTCTTTTCCGAGGACTGCATTTTGTCAGTCATTATCACGTGACAGCGACTAGTTGATGACAGGCATAAAAAGTCACTACAGAGCCGTGAAGTCGACTAGTCGACTAGTCGACTAGTTCGTACAACCCCTACTGTGGTGTTTGTTAAATCTGTCAGCTTTGATTCGTCCAGAATCAAAAACATCCAGATTAATAAAACAGTTCCAACGCCATCTTAAGTCCAGTTCTCAAGATCTCGTTCTCAAGATCCCATGAAGTTCACCGCATGTGAAGTGAAGTATGGACAGGCCATCTGTACTCCTCTTTTTAAGCTGAGAACCATTCAAGCTGGGAAAATTGTGTTGTTTACCAACCAAGCAACAGTACCTTTCAGAATAAAAGCTGAACTCGCTGACCCAAGGAGGGTCCCCTTTTCGATGCTGTGAAACACCTGTCACTTTTTACCTGGAGACTATCCAAAGACTGGTTTGTCGTACTGTTGATGCTGCTTCATCGGCTCCAGTACCAGAGGAGGGTCTGTGGACCTGGCATCCGGATCTGTACGGAGGTCTCACTGAGGGTATGTGGATGCAACATAAATGGCGTCTCATGTGTTTATGACTACGAGTCTCAAACTCTGATTAGTTAGGAGCAAAACATCATCTTCCACTCAGACTTTGTTTCTCCAGATGCGAGGGCTCAGAATTTGACATCATTCACACACACACACCAACCACCTCACACTTCATTCAAACAGAGCATCCATCATTAGAGAGTTAGTCTTGTTAAATTGTATAAAATTATTTAGTAATACATTTCCTTAAACGTTTGAAGGTCTCTCTCTCTTATCTTGTCTGTCAGTTAATACAAAGTGTTATCTAAATTCCCTGCAATAAAAAGATCCAATCTTCTGATTTAAATAACCCAGTGTCCATAAGATGGAATTCATACTCGATATGAATTTTTAATGTCTTATGGTCCTTAATTAAATGTAATTAACATCTTCATTACACAGTCACAAACCTATGCGGCCAAATGCTCTACTAATGTTTGTATTGGAGGGGATCCAGCACGCATGCACCAGTTATAGCGTAGGTCTAGTGTAAAGATTGCTGCACCAAAATAGGAACTGGAAATACATCACAAGACAACTCGGTCATCTTAAGAGATTTTCAAATTACATTTACCAGTCTATCCGTCCATCCATCCATCCATCCATCCATCCATTTTCGGCCGCTTATCTGGGTTCGGGTCGCAGGGGCAGCAGCCTAAACAGGAAGGCCCAGACTTCCCTCTCGCAGACAAATTGGGCCAGCTCCTACGGGGAAAACCTAAGGCATTCCCTGGCCAGCCGAGAGATATAGACTCTCCAGCGTGTCCTGGGCGTTTCTTTAGGTCTCCTCCCGGTTGGACGTGCCCAGAAAACCTGACCAGGGAGGCATCCAGGTGGTATCCTAACTAGATGCCCGAGCCACCTCAACTGATTCCTCTCGATGATGAGGAAGAATGAATTTATTCCGAGCCAATCCCAGATGACCAAGCTTCTCACCCTATCTCTAAGTGAGAGCCCAGACACCCTGCAGGGAAAACTCATTTCGGCCACTTGTATCCATGATCTCATTCTTTCTGTCACTACCCAAAGCTCGTGACCATAGGTGAGGGTAGGAACGTAGATCGACTGATAAATTGAGAGCTTTGCCTTCCGTCTCAGCTCTCTCTTCCCCACGACAGACTGATACAGCGCCCGCATCACTGCAGATGCAGCACCAATCCACTTATCGAGCTCATGCTCCAGTTTTCCCTCACTCGTGAACAAGACCCCGAGATACTTAAACTCCTACAATAGACCTTTTCCCTGACCCGGAGGAGGCATTCTACCCTTTTGCGACTTAAGACCATGGTCTCAGATTTAGAGGAGCTGATTCTCATCCCAACTGCTTCACACTTGGCTGCAAACTGCTTCAATGAGAACCGGAGATCACGTTCTGATGAAGCCAACAGGACCACACAAAAGAAAAAATGAGAAAGGAAAAAAGTTTTTAATTTACTTTTTTGATGACCCTTTAACCCGTTCTGAACTTGAGTCTGAAACACCTTCATCTCCTCACGCTTAGACTACTGGAACTCTCTTTTCACGTGTCTGAGCAGAACCTCCCTGAACGTCTACAGGTGGTTCAGAATGCCTGTGCTTGACTTCTGACCAAGTCCTCCAAACACACCCACATCACCCCTCTTCTCCTCCAGCTTCACTGGCTGCCAGTCAACTTCAGGGTTCATTTCAAGATCCTGGTTCTGGTCTATAGGGCCTTACATGGACAAGCACCATCTTACATTGGTGATCTTCTTAGTCCCTGCACCCCCAGCAGGTCCCTGAGGTCCAGTGTTCGTTCGTTCTTTCTTTCTTTCTTTCTTTCTTTCTTTCTTTCTTTCTTTCTTTCTTTCTTTCTTTCTTTCTTTCTTTCTTTCTTTCTTTCTTTCTTTCTTTCTTTCTTTCTCTACTGTTTGGTATGTCACTAATTTGTCGTATGGGGAAAACATCTGTTTTAATTCTGATACTATAAGTAGCAACTGGGTCTCTATGATCCCTTAAAAGCCCGAAAACATCACATTTTCCAGAAGAAGAACTATTTTGTAGTTAATACAACAACACCCTATAAATCACTCAAATGCAGCACCGCCTTGTAAGATTAATCACAATGTTTTTTTTCTGTCTCTGCAAATACACATAAGTTATTTTCTACCATGCTGAGGGAATGAATGGAGAGGTTTGTGTTCCTTTAATTTTGCTCCATTATCTTTTGTGGACATTAATTAATCAAATGTTATCTTCCCTCTTCACTTTCAGAGGTCAGACAGTGAGGAAGGGAGTGCTGATGGGAAAATAACAGACATGATGTGCTTTCCCAAAATAACGACAAGGGACAGTTTAGCAGGATGAAGTGGATGAGTGTGTGTGACTAGCAGGTGGCCCTTTTTTACTCAATGAATATGTGAAAAACTCCTTTTTAGTCTGAATCCTTCACAGCTCACTAGGATTAGGTTATGTAATTTTGGATCATTTCTGATGTGATGTTAAAGTTCTCCACATGCTCCCCACTCATGTCTCAGGATGTTTGTGCAGTCTCCTGGCGCATTTCAAAATCCAACCTCTAAAACTCCTGGAAAATCCTCGTCTGTCTCGACAGTAGTGCTTTTCTTAGTGAAGACCAAAAACGATTTTATCAGCCTGACCTTAGGACTTGATCCTCTCCTTTTCCATTGAAGTTAAATCGCCTCACTTCCTGATAGAAGATGGACCACCGGATAAAGAGAGGCTGCTTTTTTCATTCTGTGTGTGTGTGTGTGTGTGTGTGTGTGTGTGTGTGTGTGAATTACAACATTAAACTAAAGGTTGCTTTCATTTGCATTTGTTTAATCATTCTCATTTTCCTTTCAGTCAAGGTTATATTTTACCCAAGTTAACTTTTCTGCATGTTAATAATAACAATTTTAAAACAGCACATTTTTGCACATATTTTCTGGGAATTACAATCCTACAGAACTACAGGTGAATCTAGAAAAATAAAATTTTATGCAAAAGTTTGTTTGTTTAGCTTAAATGATGAAACTAATATATGAGATAGACTCATTCCCTGCATAGCCAGATATTTCAAGCCTTTATTTGTTCTTATTGTGATGATTATGGCTTACAGCTTATGAAAACCCCACATTCAAAACCTCAGACAATTAGAATATTGTGAAAAGATTTAATATTCTAGACTGAAAGTGTCACACTCTAATCAGCTAATGAATCCAGAACACCTGCAAAGAGCCTTTAGATGGTCTCACAGGCTAAGCTAAAATACACAAATAAATGGACTTTCGCACCATAATCTAAATTTTTCAAGTTTACCTTGATGTCTTTTAACAGGAAGTCCCATGTTTAGGTCACAGCAGCCTTTCCTCATATTTTCCTCCACATGCAGCTTCAAAGTATTTAATGACCTCACATCTTTCATCTACTGACGTATTTTCATGTGGAAGTCATCTGTCGTTGCTGAAACTAAGGTTGGCACCATTTTCTGGAGGTTCGGGTCAGTCATGCACCAACAAAACTTACAGGATGAGGTGTTCTCTGAAATCCTAGATGCAGTTCAGACCTTCTGTTATGAACTTGGTTCTCTGGATAAACATGAGAAAAAAGTAGTAATGTGCCTCCTACGTGCACACACTCAGATGCTCTTATAAAACTACAAGCCTACCTTTATCGTAGTTATTGGCATTTGTCCTCTCCTCTATTTGTGTTATTTATCAAT